CGCAGCCGTAGTATGGTGGACTAGGGTGCAAAAGAAAACAGCCAAAGTTGCGCTGGAGCATGTCAGGGCTCTGATTTTGAGAGGAGCCCTAAGTGCTATGGTTACGACACCAGTGGCGGCGATGGGCGTAATGTTCGGCATCGAACCGTTTCATCAGGTGGTGGTGGCTGCGAAAGCAGTGGCGAAATACCGTCTAAGATGCAAACAAAAATGGAAGAAAGGAGCCCGGCATACGAGGCTGCCGGAAGACGTTCTGTTGGATCCGATATTCGAGATGCGACAGGACAGAATACCTATTATTCGGGCTTCTGATAGGCACTTTAAAGTGCATATACCGAGGCCGGAGGAGTGGGAAAAGGAAGGTGGAAACCTAGGGGCTCGAGTGCGTGGAGGGGATGTCTGGTATACGGACGGCTCCAAGACGGACACGGGCTCCGGGGCCGGCTTCTTTGGCAGTCGAGAGGGATGGAAGTAGAGCATTTCTCTCGACAGTTATGCCACGGTATTCCAAGCGGAGATTGTGACTATCCTAAGCTGTGCTCAGACCGTACGGAGTAGGGTAGAAGCGGGAGAGCACATCAGAATTTGTACGGACAGCCAGGCAGCCATCAAGGCGCTGGGGGCTCCGACAATAACATCGCGGTTGGTTCAGAAGTGCAGAGGCGTTCTGAACGAATTGGCGAGAGAGAGAGAAGTCACCGTTACATGGGTGCCTGGTCACTCAGGCATCCAGGGTAATGAATGTGCGGACCAGCTGGCAAAAGCGGGTTCAGAGACAACGATGGTAGGACCGGGGCCGGCTCTAGGAATCCCCTTTTGTCTAGGAAAGGGGAGGATCAAAGAATGGCTCCGCAGAGAACATCTAAGACACTGGAGAGTGGAATCTGAGTCCAAATGCAGACAGGCTAGAGCTCTGATGGAAGATACTCCTAATAGAAAACTGACTTGGAGCATAAGGGCTCTGAGTAGGAGAGATGCCAGGACAGCGGTACACATACTGACTGGTCATGGCACCTTAAACTACCACATGTACAAGCTTGGGCGTAGCGATACATCCAAGTGCAGGACATGTGGAGACGACGAGGAAACAAGCCTTCATGTGCTCTGCGACTGTCCTGCACAGGCAGGGTTGAGACACAAGATGCTGGGCTCAGCACTACTTGGGTCCGAGCAGATCAGGAAGCTGCCGGTGAGAGATCTGATTCTCTTTTGGAGAAAAACTGGTCTCTCATGAGTAAGCTTATGAGGGAAGGCACAATGGACAATGTCTGGGTGCCGCGGGCGGTGCTTCGAAAGAGGAACGCCCCCCCGTTATAATATTATTATTATTATTGGGTTTGATAAAAAAAAAACTTAACTCTTAATCGCATATGTGTATTTATTTATTTTTTTGTGTATTTTTACTAGTAATGTGTGTGTGTGTGTGTGTGTGTGTGTGTATATGTCATTCCTCAGGAGAGAGGACGGAGCAAATAATAATAACGAAAATACTGGTAAAAGGGAAAGGAATCAGAAAAAATAAAAAAAAGAAAATGAACCAACTTACTCGTTGCAGAGTAGTTTTGGATCGTTCAAGTGGGCGCCCTGCTGAAAGATGTTGTGTAGGAGACGGACCCTCTTTTTGAGATGAACCATTCGGTTACGGCAAAGTATTACTTGACGACACTACTCGCGACTTGTTTTACTTTCTGATTCGCGCCGAACTACTCGAAAAATTGTGAAATAAGGTGGCAAAACTGTTATAAAAATGACTGTGAGTCTGAATCTATGATGATGCTGATGATTTTTGTGGTTCGGAGCCACCTGAACACCGGTTTTTATATCCTTTTCTTGGGGTGGATCTATTTGGAAAATCTTAGGTTTTTGAGGCGGGGATCGAACAGGAATTAATCTTACAAAAAGGTTTTTAATGCAGGGGAGGATAGCATCATTTTTAGCTAATAGGATTAGCTAAAAATGACGCTATCCTGATCGGTTGTCAGTTGATCGTCCTCCAATTTGTGAAAATGAAGTTGAATCGGTTACATTGTCTTTGGATGCTTTCACATTGGAGTATCCATTTGATACTATTCGCAAAGAATGGTTCATTAATCTTACTAACTTTGATATTTCAAATGAAATTCAGCTGTTGTTACAAATGGGTGACCGATTTTGTACTCCCTTAAAAATAAAGACAAAGGTCTCTACTCCAAAAGGTCTTGCTAGATTATATAAAATATGTCGAAATAAATATAGGTAAAATTGATGAAGATTCTAAAACAGACATTAGGAATAAGACCATTCCAATTCTGAAAAATTTTTATAATAGCAATATTAAATGCAACTCTCAAGAGTGTAATCTCTCTTCTTTCTTAAATGGATTAATTCTTAAATGGATGAATTGTACGAATAAATTCATTAAAAAACATCCTGAGATCATATTTACTAATGTGGATAAAGGCAATGTGACTGTAACGATTAATAGGTCAGATTACATCGACAAAATGAATGGTCTTTTATTAGATGAGAGCACATATGAAATTGTGAGAAAAAATCCGACTAATAAAATTGTGAGTGATTTACGCTTGCATTTAAATAGATGGGAAAATAAGAAAATTATCAGCAAAGAAATGTATAATCATTTAATGTCAAGTGAAGGTATCCTACTACGCGCCTACGGGCTTCTTAAAATCCATAAAGAAGGCATTCCGCTTAGAATTATTGTCTCCAGTATCAATAACCCATTATACAATCTGGGTTGCTATTTACATGAAATCCTTAGCATTGGTATTCCTAAACTTAATAGTTTCGTCGAGGATAGTTTTCAGCTCGTGAGAGAGGTGAGCAGCATAAGTATGAGACAAGATTATGATCTTGTCTCACTTTTCACTAATATACCTTGCGACGTGAATTAGCCTCGGAATCACGCCAGATCCGAGGGAGCACGCCCAATGAAAGTCGGTAACTCGCGGTACTCCACGTATTTCGGGAGCTAGGTAACTCACGCGATATCGGCAATAAATGCACGATTCGGTAACAGCGGTAACAGAGGTAACCCGACGAAATCGGTAACCGGAGATAGGCGCCAGGTGCGTATAATCGCGGTACCGATAATTGCAATAATTCTTTGAATATGTCCGGTCGCTCCCCGCTCAGTATATGGCAGAGGGGCGCAGTTCTTCTATGTTACGTTAAGAATCCGGAGTGAGAGGCGAACACAAGGACAACTCAGTAATTAATAGGTAACAATCATGTATATTTTATAATCAGTTTAACAAGGGTTAAAGATGAGTAATGCGATGAGCAATTATAAGTCGGCATTAGCCGATGCGGCGATAGTAGTCGAATAAGGCGGTAATTAGGCAATTCGCCCGCAAAATCGGTAACGTAAGATAAAATTCGGTAACAGTACGAAACTTCGAAACGTGATCACAAAAAACGTCAGCTGATCCGAAGATACTCAGTGAAATAGATAGCACGTATAATGACAACACGACGGGACCGCTAAATAAAGGCCAAATAAATACAGTTTAAAACGACGGTTATCTAACGGCCAGAAATGCTATGTCGTGGAACGGCTATTTTCGCGGATTTTCTTCGTTTCTCACGAAGACGCTAAAGTGGCGGTAACAGCAGTCTCGCGGAGAACGTTCCCGCGCAAAATCCGTCCACAGACATTGAACCACGATAACTTTCAGTAGTGAGATCGCAAAAAAACGATATCAAAAGAAAGAGACGGTAACGGAAATCGGTACAGCAATACGGTAACAAGATGGAACGGTAGCAGAAACGGTAACGAAACGAGAGAGATTGTTGGTGATTAATCTGCGCAAGATAGAGAGACTCCGACGTGATATCCGGAGCCGGCTGGATATGCGGTAACTGAGCGTGCCAAAAATGCGCTCACGGTAACGAATTCGCGGGTTAGTCGTGTGAGAAACACCGTACAAAGATACTTGGACTCACGCTACCAGCCATAACCGGACGGAACCCTACGGCTGCCCGAGATGCGACTTACAGTGGTCGGCGTCTTCGGCGTCGTCGGAAGAGTCCTCAAATTGATCCTCGCATTTGCACGGTACACCGAACAGTGTCTTCTCTTTAATCGGCACGTTGGTCCCTCGAATCCCGCGTCGCTTTTCGCGCATTTTGCCGATTTTCCGCAAAGGGGGGCCCCTGAGAACTGCCCACAGTTCATCCAGAGCGCCACCCCCCCGCTTCCTGTGGCTTCTTCAAATTAGCCCGTGCCGGTCGGCATTGCCCCCCGGATAGAGCTGGTTAGGCTGGCTGGGACATACTCCGGCCTTTCCGGGTACAGCATCCTCGGAGTCCTCAGCGCCGTCTGCAGCCGGGCGAGGCCCGTTGCTGCGTTTCTATGCTGGTTTGCGGCTGAAATCAGCGCCGATAAAACTCTTGTCAAAACAACGGCGGTCAATCGCCGAAAACCCCCCACACCCGACCGTTCCGAAATTCCGTTTTGTGGGGGGCCCGCCGCCGAAACCGCCGATGCTTGCCGATTCGAGTTCAGTCGGCTGCCAGCCGGGTATAAAAGAGGCCTGGCTGTACGTCTTCTCACCAGATCCCGTTCGCTGCTAGACAGCGAACATCACTCTACGAGCGTTCTCGAAGTCCGACCGAGTATACTCGGATTCTATGCCTTTTCCAGCACACGAGTATCCTCGTGTACCGCCGAGCGTCCTCGGTATTCTTGCTCCCGCATAAGAGTATATTCGTATATCTGCCGAGCGTACTTGGCTCCTCTAGGCACCGATCTTCGTATTGCGGGCATTCCCGCGTACCTAGCCGGATCGCCGTTCTAACTCCGCCGTCGTACGAGCGTCCTCGTACTCCCGCCGAGCGCACTCGGCTCTCTAGGCACCGATCTTCGTGCAACGGGCATTCTCGTGCACCAAGCCGGATTGCCATTCTACTCTCGCCTTCGTACGAGCGTTCTCGTACTCCCGCCGAGCGTAAATGCATTCTCTTCATTTTCTTCTTTAGAATTATTTGATAGCAATGATGATTTCCCTTCACCACATAGTTCAGATGCGCTTAGTAACAATGAAATAGTATTCTCTCCGTTAGAACATTCAGAAACATTATCACTTGATCGAGAATCAGTATCTCCAACATTGTCTCTTAACTCTTTGTCGGACATGTCATCTAAACCATCAAAAAAATTAACAAAAAAAAATTAAATGCACATCCTCAGCAGATAATAAAATGGAAGAATTTTTTTTGAGATTAACATCAGTGGTTTCGTCGCATTTAGAAAATAAAACTAAAGATGATGATAAAATTTTTGCTAAAGCAGTTGCATGCCAATTAAAAAAAATCTCGGAACCCGAAAAAACTAAACTAAAAGGTCAAATAATAAAAATATTATATAATCTGTGAACCAAAGGATTTATTACATAGTTATGAAAAATACATATGCATATATTATATTATATGTTTATATAATATCAAGTTTATATAAAATAAAAAGTTTATATTTTATGGAACAAGTTTATTGTGTATTTTTATGATAAATTTCTATTGTATCCCCTATGAATATATTCCATTTGCCATGGTACTTTACCTTGTGGTGATGATAAATATTCAGATAGAGTGTCTCTTTGAATATAAGCTTCTCTTACCGCTCTATGTACATTAGTACGTCGCAAATTATTTACATTATTCAGATTAAAACTAGACCTCCATGCACCTTGTGTAACATGTCCTGTGTTGTTTTCATTATCAATATAATTTAGAGGACAGTAAGTATTTTCGTCTAACATATTATTATTTTCTATCATTAAAAAATTGTGTAAATTTATTGCAGTCATAATTATTGTATCTATATGTTCTGGGTTCAAACATATACATCTTTGAAAAATTCTCCACCTTGAGACCAAAATTCCAAATGTATTCTCAATAATACGTCTAGCTCTTGATAATCTATAGTTAAAAATAGACTTTTTCTCATTCAAAAATTGTCCAGGATAAGGTCGCATTATTCGTTTTAATAACGGAAATGCCTCATCAGCAACAAAATAATAAGGCATTTTTATATCTGATAGAGGTAACTTACAATTTTCTACAGGTATATTAAGATTATTATTGTTTAAGCACTTTCCAAATTCAGATTGTGCAAATATACCGCCATCACTTGCACTACCATATGCACCACAGTCTACGACAGTAAATTTATATTGATAATCATATACAGCTAATAATACAATACTAAAACTTTTTTTATAATTAAAGTATAAG